CATGTATTGGATAATGTAAAGATCAGGGAACTTACATCTGAGGGGATCTAAACATGCAGCTACATAAATCTGGCATATAGTTGGACTGTTAGCCATCCCTTGGGGGAGCACCACCCATTGGAAGAGAACAGCAAGGCTCCCTAACGTTAATCGCAGGAAGGCTAAAGGCAAACCGAGGACTATCTTGAGAATGCAAGGGAATAGAAAAGAAGCAATCCTTCAAATCAATGACAATCCAATACCAGTCTCTAGGAATGGCCACAGGCACCGGAAAGCCAGGCTCGAGCTCCCCCATAGGCTGCATAGTCACATTCACGGCCCTCAGATCTTGTAGGAACCTCCATTTCCCTGAAGATTTTTTTATTACAAATATCAGGGTATTCCAGGGGGACATGGAAGGGACCAAATGACCCATCTCCATTTGATCTTGAACTAGCTGGTGAGCTGCCCAAAGTTTCTCCCCTGGTAAGGGCCACTGTTCCACCCATACCAGATCATGTGATAGCCATGTGATGGGTATGGGGGCAGGCAGTGCAACAGTGACCCTCATCAAAAATGAACAAAACCCTTCCAATCCCCCAGAACCCTTGTATCCAAAGGGAAGGATGCCACCAGGCAAACCTCTCCCTGTTCTAGTTTACCTAGTCCCCTCCCCAGACTCCAGCACATCCCTTGCATCATCTGGGGAGCACTGCTTTTGGACTTGGGTGCCTGGGTGGTGAGGACCACTCCCATTTCTTTCATGAGGTCCCATCCCCAGTGGTTAATAGGGAGGCCAAACAAAATATATGGCTGAAAAAGCCCTGTATGGCCCTCAGTGTCTTGCCACTTTAGAATTCTGAGGCTTTTTTTTGTGGCACAGCCTGTCCTATTTCCTGGAGGGTCACTGTCCCTTCCTGTTTAGGCCAGGTGGGGGGCCACAAATCAAATAATCTCCCCCAGATAGAGTCACTTGGCAAAGCTGCTGCCAATCACTAGGTGTCAAGTTAATAGATACAAAAGATTCCATTAAGGAAAGTGTAAAGGTAGCATGTGCTCCATAATTTAGATTTGCCTCTTTAAATTGTTTTATGTCTTTAAAACTTAAAGGGTCATGATGCCGAATGACCTGCCCAGAATTGTTCGGGTCTGGAGATTTTATTACTGGGGCCACCACAGGGCAGTATTGGACCCCTCCTTTGCGTCTTCCCTCAAGGTCCAAGAAGGACTGGGTCATATCATAGGAGGAGTCCCTTTTTTCAGAGTATGGAGAAGGGTTTCTCTCTGTGTCCTGACTTTTCTTAATTCAAGTCTTTTTAGTTATTTTTTAAGGGCTGCAAACTCAGCAAGTAACCGTTCCTTTTTGACAAGTCTGAGTCTGAGATACTTCCATTTTCTAGGTCTGACAGAGAAGGATATAACCAATTCTGACTGGAGTCCTTCTTTTTTGGGTCATTCCCGGAGATCTGTACCCATTTTTTTGTTGTTGCTAAGAGATTCCTCCTCGTGCTCACTAACAATGGAGCTTCTAGTTTCGGGCAGGGTCTCTTCACATGATTCATCCTCACTCTCTGCCCCTGAACTCAAGGAGGTTTGAGTCTCAGTCTCTTGTAACTCTAAAAAAGCCTCTTTTGTGGCCTGAACTACCTGGCGGTGACGAAACTTATCTGCCAAATGTGCATCCCTCACTAATCTCCATAAGGAGAATATGGTAGGGTACAAGGACTCAGATCCCTCTTTTTGTAAAAGTCAATGAAGATCATGGTGAACCTCCTCCCAATCTGGGACACTTAAGCTTCTCCCAGTAATGAACCATGGACTTGCTCGTTCTATGGATTTTAGAAAGCCTTTTAGAATTTTAGACTTAAGTGTAGTCCCATGTCCTTTAAGTCACCTTTTTAATTGATACTGTAATGATTCAAGCTTCCCGGAACTATTCTCCATCATTTCTTAACCCCGTCCACTTACCTCGCTTTCACGATCTCAGTGGGACCTCCAATTGCTGTGCCCGCTGTGCAGCCTATATCCGAGAATGTGTGGAGGGTGTCAGGATTGATGACACAGAGATCAATCAACATGTAAAGAAAACTTTAAGCAGGCCCCAAAAAGGCTCAAGAAAACTTCCAAAGAAAGGCTTCCCTCCAGAAAAGCTTCTACTCCCTGCCTCACCCCTGGCTGGTTCTGCTCTGACACCAGAGACTGACTTGAGTGGGTCAGAAAAGGCAGTCTTTGGAAAAGGTCTAAATCAGGGCATTCCCATGGGCAAGCCCTTTTCAGGAACTTATTGCCCCGTGCATTGTATTGTTTTAGTAAACATGTTCTTAGTAAACATTGTCTTAGAGCTGCTTGGTCACAGGCTAATGGGGAAGTGGCCAAGGTCTGTTGTCCCCACAAACTTCATGGGATATACTTTTAGCCTACAACTAGTGAAACTGTAGACTTACAAAATTCTAATTTCCCTAGGAATCTCATTGTAGGAAAAGACTTGAGTCTTCCAAATCAGAATGTCTCTATTGAAGAAACATTTACTTCATATCTAAACAGCTTGCAGGATAGATAGGAACTGAGAATGTAGGAGTGTTTTAGAGATGGGAAAAAATTCAATATTTGGCTTCATTAGATTACTTACTTTGGCATGTATTTGCCTTCTATCTAGGCCCCTTAGGACCCCAAGGATGTATTATTCACCATATATGTTCTTTTTTTGTTTGTTTGTTTTTTTCAAGACAGAGTTTCTCTGTAGCTTTGGAGCCTGTCCTGGAACTCACTCTGTAGACCAGGCTGGCCTCGAACTCACAGAGATCCGCCTGCCTCTGCCTCCCGAGTGCTGGGATTAACGGCGTGCGCCACCAACGCCCAGATACCATATATGTTCTTTATTATTCCAAATTAGGCAAACTAAATAAATATGATTTAAACTTTTAAAAATTATTTCATTCTCCCTTTTCTATTACTTTTTTTCTCTTCTTGTTAAGAATAGTATTACTGTGAGTTTCTGTGTTACCTAGAACTCACAACATAGACTAGCGTATCCTATGATATCAGAGAGATCTGTCCATCTTGTCTCTAGAGTGCCTGCATTATAGTAGGACATGTCACTAGATGAGTTGGTTTATTTAATTGGCTTCATTAGCATATGGGAGTGAACCTTGCTGTTTAGGGTAGCCAGGACACAGGCTCTGGTCCTAACTCCAGTAACAGAAGCAGGTACCCATCAAATGCAGCCTTTCTGCCTTAAAGTCCACTACCTTCCAACTATGAAAATAGTATTTTTCCTCATCATTGAATCTGTTATAACTCATCAAAGGACCTGAGATGATTTCTGCCTTATTCTGCAAATAGTGAAACCAGAGTCACTGAGATAAGCTAATTTTAATATAGTCTAGTGTAACTCCTCATGTTACTCATCCCATGATTCTAATGCCTCAATAAGTGAAGCTGAAGCCCCCTAAGCCAGGCATGGGGGCAGTGGCCTGTAATCATGGTAGTTAGGAATTAGAGGTAGGAATATAGGGATTTTAAAGTCATCCAATGTTAAAATATTTACAGGGGTATGTTGGGAGGACCACAGAACACACATAGACTGTGACTACTCTAGGACAGTGTTCATAATCATCTCTGAAGCTCCAGGACTTCAGGGCTATGTCACAAGCAATTTTTAGCTAAGGTATTTACCACCCTGTCTTTCCTCTTCTTTTTTTAAGTTTATAAATTTTATTTAAACTAGAATCAATCTTATTTTAAATATCAATCCTCGTTCCCTTTCTTTTCCATCCTCCCATGCCCTGCACCAATCCCCCATCCCATCACATATATGCTCCTCAGGAATGGTGATGCCTTCTATGGTGGGTCCTCAAAATCTGTCATATCATTTGAGTCATGGCCTAAGCCCTCACCCATGTGTCTAGGCCGAGAGAGTATCGTTCTATTTGGAATAGACTCCCAAATTCCTTTGTGCACTAGGGAGAAATACTTTTTCCCCTGGCAGAAGCCCTATAGACTGCCCAGTGCTCCAAAATGACACCCACATTGAGGGGGTCAGTATCAGTCCTATGCTGGTTTCCCAGCTACCAGTCTGGGTTCCATAAACTTCCACCTTGTTCAGGTCAGCTGCTTCTGTGCATTTCTTCAGCCTGGTCTTGACCCCTTTTCTCATCACTCCTCTCCCCACCTACACCTCCCTGTTATAGGGGAAGCTTCACCCAACCTACCTTCTCCACCTACTCAAGGAAGAGATGCTTGAGGTACTTAGGATGGCAGCTAAGGGAATACTTCCTTATCTATACCTCATGTTGAAGATGAGTCCACTGAGGCCTGAATCTCCCACTCCCCACACCATCCCATGTCAGAAGGAAGAAGTCAGACTTAAACTGACATCTCAACACCCAGTGAGTCTTGGTTGTTTAGAGAGAAGACCTACTGGCTGGTATAAGTACACAAAGGGAGTGGAATGTTTGGTAGATCTGTTCCAAATCCCATCCTCAAGGTGCCAAGGATGGGCCCCTACCTGTAGTAACCTCCTCCAGCCCCTAAAATGCCCATTATTGATGGGCCCACACCTGGGGATTGTGGTATCGGTCCCCAACCAAGGATTAACCTCATGGTTTCTGGTTTTGTCTTCTTTTGCTTTGCTCAGATTAAACCACTGTGCTGTGTCTCTTCTAATGACTGGGACTTGTCACTCAGGCATCACAAGCCAATCAGAGACTCCAACAGATCCTTCAGTCACATGGGAGCCAGCCTTTCTCCTCAGCTTTTCTGAGGAAGTAGAAGTTGTCTCCTGTGCTGTGCCTTTGGTTCTGCATATGGGACCAGAAGATGGAAGAGTGTGTTGGGCTCTTTCTTTCTTTCTCACACACTGTCTCTCTCGAGTTGCAGAACGCATTAGAAGTGTAAGGACTGTGCCTTCTAGATCAGGAATTCCATGGTGGCTATTTATGATTATCTCTGTAAGTTGTTTCCCAGTTAAACACCTATTCATCATTTACTAACAGTCTGGTGAAATCATTGACAGCCTGGCGTCACATAAAACAGTTTTTTATTGAAACTAAAGACAAGTATGAAGTCTTTACAAAATCATTTCCATGGATAGGGTTTTCTCTTTTCTGGGTTATTCCCCATTACCTGACATCAAGATGATACAAAAAGTATTTAAAATATGTACAGGGTAAGAGATAGGGACAAGCAAAATTGCAACCAAATGAATATAAAATAAATACAGGGCTAGAGACATAGATGAGGAAAATTGTGACAAATTCATTGGCAGGACCTAGGTCAGATTTTTGAGAACTTTCTGTAGTTCCTGCTATAGGAATACTAAACTGTCTAACCTTCTTGGGAACAAGCATGAACATTCACAGACCCACACACTGATATCACATAATTAAAACTAAACCAAGTGTCTAACCAAACAGATTTTCACACATGAACATTTTGTCTTGTAAGAAGCCATTCCTGTAATCCAGGTATTAAGGCATTTGAAGTCTTAACAGTTTCCCCTCATCATGAATTGGGTCATGGAAAAGAAAGCAAGCACATAAAATTGAATTTAGAGAAATTGACTGATCCAAATGAGGTTTTTTATGTAACTAAGGAAAAGCGTGAAATCAAAAAAGGTTATCTTATCAATGAATTCATAGTTTTTCCATACGAGTTTGCAGGTTCAAACAAAAGAGAGACACCATAATCTTGAACATAATTTTGACATTTTTCAAGTATTTTTCTCTCAAGAATCCTGTGTAACCAAATGTGTGTTGGTTGAAGATTTTCCCAAATAATTTGTAGTAAGATTCCATTTAGTATGAATTTTCTCAGGTACTCAAATACTATTGTGATATGCAAAGTGCACAACTTTACGCACTGCTTATATTTATATGGTTTTTATGTAGTATGATGTTTTATGATTTAATGACTGGTGATACATATGAATATTTTACCCCACAAGTCATACTCACAGGGTCTCTCTCAAGTATGTGTTCTTTTATCACTTAAGTGGTTACAGTGATGTGAAAAGGCTTTACCACATGCTAATATATGAAAAATCTCATGTATTCACAGGGGTTCTCTCCTGTATGGCTTGTTTTATTCCTGAAATGATAACAGACACATGTAAAAGCATTACCACATGTGTTATACTGATGAAATGTAGTATCTATATAAATTAATTTTATAATTTGGCTTAATTGTAAAGAGGAATAAGATCTTATGTTTTACATTCATGATACTTCCCTTTATGAGAGGGTATTTTGTGGCTTTGAAGACACCTGTGATAGATATTCAGAGCCTTTATTTCATGGCCCAAATTTGTGGCATTTTTTATATGAGATTTTTCATATATTTGAAAAGAACTGGAGGAACTCAGAGCCCTGTCATTCTTAGAGCTTTCATAAGTTTTCCTATAGTGTGAGTCATACTATATTGGCATATTGTAGTAGGATAAATGGAACAAGTCATACAATACAATACTCATAGTGGTTTTCTGCACTCTGTATTTGTTGATATCTTTATAATGAATTTGGAACACCAAATACTTGTAAACCTTCATCACATTCAACATCTCTTCTCAAAGTGGGGTGTTTAAATGCTTCAAAAAACCATGCTAGAACAAACTTATTCATCATCATCATCCTCTTCATCTTCCTCTTCCTTCTTTTTCTTGCTCTTTTCTGCCTTGACAACCCCCTTTTCATGACATCAGGTTTTCCTGAGCTCTGTAAGCAGCAATATCCTTCTCATACTTCTCCTTCAGCTTGGCAGCCTCCTTTCCATGGGGCTGCTTATCATCTGCAGGAATGTTGTTCCAGTTTCTTTGCAACATCACCAACGGACAAGCAATACTCAGAACAGAACAAGAAGAAAGCTGAGGGAGGCCTCTTGAGTGCATGGGGTACTTGAACTTCTTTTTGGTGTCTCCTTGGGGGGGGGATGTAAGTTTTCATTTCTCTTTTATAATGAGCCTTGTTGGCCTTTGCCATATCTTCAAATTTCACCTTGTCTTTAGAAGACATGCTCTTCCCCCTTTCTGAGCACTTCTTAAAGAACTCTGAGAAGTTGACAGAAGCATCCAGGTGCTTCTTCTTGCATTCTTCACAGCATGATTGCGCAAAGAATTCACATGAGGCCATTTTGCCTATTGGCTTCTTAGGATCTCCTTTGCCCATGTTTAGATGATTTTTTTCCACAAGGCACAAGTCACCCCATGCCCATCTGACTTGTACTTGCCCCATTGCTGTCTCTATGGAGGTCAATGTACTACAATGGTCTTTTCATTTTTGTTTTTGTTTTTGACATAGATTTCTCTGTGTAGCTATGGATCTGGTCCTGGAACTTCCTCTGTACACAAGGCTGTCCCTCCAAGTCATACAAATCCACCTGCCTCTGCCTTCTGAGCACTGGGATAAATGATATGGACTACCCCTTCCCTGCTGGAAATGATATTCTTCTTAAAGGCAGAGTAATAAATAAAAGGTTTCCACATTTAATTCATGCAGTTTGACTTTCTTTTCCTCACAGATATGTGATATAGGAATTAATGCTTCTCTGCAACAATCTTCTTGACTCTCTTAAACTGACCCTTCAAATATACATAGCAAAGTCATGAATATATGATTAAGGGCAGCTTTAAGACAGACTATTTTTCTTTGAAGGTCATGTACATATATGTATCATCTTATCAATGTGTATACCATTTAAAATACCTTAGTGATATTAAACTAAACAGATTGTTATTTCTATGGCACAGATCTCTATGGCAAGTGTTGGTATCTGTTAAGGCACTGTCTCCTTTTTGTTTTGTTTTTCCCACTGGAAGGCCTTGCAAACACAGAATAGCTACCTGACATTGAGGTATATGATTTTGTGGGAAATTAAGAATCATTAATATCCTTCAAGCTGTGCTGATTTACACTGTTTCTTTTCTTTAAACAATCCAGGAAACATTAAAATTTCTTAAGAGGCAAATTTGTATAAACTTGCCCATGAAAATTACCTTCTATTTCTTCTAGAATTTTGACAAAGTTCTTCAAAATTATGGTCATCCCAACTGTAGCCTAAAATAAAATTCCAGAAAATACATGGTATATTAATGTAAATTGTACAAAATTTAAATATCTTAAATAAACATTAGAAAGATGCGTTATTCACCTAATTTTTCTTTGTTCAATTAAAATTACAGAAGATTATCAAACACCATGAAACAGTTGTCCCATTATTTTAAATCATGAAGGAAAATTCAGTCTTACCTACAGCATTGAGGTTTATGTAGGTGTTTAGCATCACATCTTTGTAGACACTTTTCTGAGAAGGATTCAGTGAAGCCCACTCTTCCTGACTGAAGTCGATGTGCACATCTGTTGGGGGAAGTCCTGTGCATTTGTCAATAAAGCACTGTCTGGCCAATAGGGAATCAAGATAGGTGGGACTAGGAGTCCAGGAGGACTCTGGGAAGGAGAAACACAAGAGAGTCAACATGTAACACCATGGGGTAGGAAGCCCGGAACTATTCTCCGGTAAGAAACATACTTAGATTAACAATTATGGGGTAATTACTTAAAGCAGAGCTAGCCAGTAAGAGACAAGCATGGCCAACAGCTTCATAATTAATATAGCCTCCTGTGTGTTTATTTGGGACTGATGTGGCTCTGGAACCAGGCTGGTGGGAAAGCTCTCAAGGAAAAAGCTTCTCTTTACACACATTATCATAGGTCATCTTAAAATAACCCGTACATAAGTAAAAAACAAAGTGTGATACTTACACTGTAAAAGTATGCTTCTTTCACAAGGTAGTCAGACAATTCTGGTACTTCCCACACTTTTATCTTGACCGTCACTTAAGTAGGAAATGACTAGGAGATTCACAAGCACCATTTCTGGGCTGTTTAAACAGCATGTAGCCTTGAGAAAGAAATCACAAATGACAGACATAAAGAGAGAGACAAGCAATCAGATCAACATTACTGAGAACACATCAAAAAACTTGTATAATAGGGCCAGTCTATCTCAACAATACTCCGGTCCCTGGTACCAACTTCTCTGTTTGTTAAATATTCATTGCTGTGAAGAAACACTATGAATCATGGCAAATCTTTCAAAGAAGATATTTAATTGAGGTTTTTCCCTTAACATTTCAGAGCTTCAGTTAATCATCATCAGGACAGGGGGCATGGCAGCATGCAGGCAGATGTGGTACTAAAGTTTAGAGTCCTTACACCTTGACTCAGGGACAACAGTCAAATGACTGACACTGGGCAGCATCCTGAGGATAAGAAACCACAATGTCTGACCCCACAATGACATACTTCCTCTAACAAGGAAAAGCTCACTCCAACAAAGCCACACCTCCTCATACTGTCATTGGTGGGAGCTCACAGAATACACACTCAAAACTGGGAACCTTCATGGCACCAAACTAGACCCTCTGAATGTGGGTGACACCTATGTGACTTGATCTGTTGATGGGCTCCTGGCAGTGAAACCAGGACCCATTCCAGGTGTATGAACTGGTTTTGGAGCTCCCTTCCTATGGTGACATACATTGCTCAGACTTGACACAGGACGGAATGACTTGGACCTACCACAACTTGGTATGCCAGATTTTGTTGAATCCCAAAAGAATGCCTTACTCCCTCTGAGGAGTGGATTGGCGATGGGAAGGAGGAGATTAGACAGTGAGAGACAAGGAGGGAGGGCAACTGTGGTTGGTATGTAAAATGAAACTGAATTTTTTAAAAAATAAATTTAAAAAGGTACAGTGTATGTTTTGTATTATGCACTGAAAGTCACTGGTTTTGCTCTTATTGCTTTATAAGAAGCAATACTTTTCAAAACAAGCTTATTGCAAAGTATTGCATATAGAATTTGTGTGTATACATGTGATAAACCATAGAAGAGGGAGTCATATACCCCAGATCTGGAGTATCTGGTAATTATGGGCCTCCAAATTTGGGTGTTAGGATCTGAACAAAGGTCATCCCCAAGAAGAATATGTGCTGAGCCACCTGACAAACCCCATAGTTCTTTTTAGGTGAAACAGTAAAAGACTTTCACACATTAAAGACAATGAGAATAAAAAAAAGCCCAAATAAATAAAGAAGTAAATAATGATTGTGAAATGAATGCCTCAATATTAACATACCATTTATGTTATATTTGCAACATGAATTGAAAACAATCCATAGAAAATTCCCAACACCTTATAACAAGATATCTGATTCCAAAGCTATATGCAAAGTTCAAACAGATAGAATTCCAAAGAGGTTTACAATGAATAGTATACACATGGACATAGTGTAACTTCTATACTTAGAACAAATCTACAGCAATTGAGAAGTGTACAATATTCGGAAAAGAATAAGCAGATGGAAATAAAAACCCAAGAATAAAAGCAGGAAAATGTAATCAACTTTTCATCAAAATATCAAATGAAACTCAGCCAGGTCAACTGACATCTTGAACAATGTTATCCCACTACACATGACTCTATGTGTATAGAAATTAAATAGACCCACCAACACCATGCACACCTGAGAAACTTCTGCAGATTAGAAATTCATTTTGATCCATTGAACTCAACTTTCCTGAATCACAGCATTGTAGCTGGAGGTAGCAGAGATTTAAAAGCATTCTGATAATACATTAATGAAGGATGAAACCCATCACCTCAGTAACATCCATATGGCATTAATTTTGTGGAGCTCTCAACTGTTTCTCCAAGTGTGGTGGTATTTTGTTTGTGCGGTAACAAATGAAGCTTGCAAGGCTGTGGTTGTCCATGACTTTAATCACAGCACATGACAGGCAGAGGCAGGTGGATCTTTGTGACATCAAGGGATTTCGAGACCAGGCTCCAGAGACACACAGAGAAAACCTGTCTCAAAAAACAGCAACAAACAAACAAAAAACAAAAACATCACAAACAAATATAAAAGCAAAGTTTGCCTGAAAACCAGAATGTGGAACTAGGCAGTAGTTAGCCATGGAGGCCTGTCCATGGTGGGGCACACCTTTAATACCAGCTCTAGGTAGGCAGAGGCATATGGATCTCTGTTATTTCAAGGCTATCCTGGGCTGCACCAGATTGATCTAGTCTAAATGTAAAGCAGAGCCAGGTAATGGTGGCTCAATCCATTTTCCCAGTAGTTGGGAATTGTAAATAGGAGTAATATGACTGGGAGGAGAGAGCAATATAAGACGGGGAGAGAGAGAAGTTCATTGTCTTAAGTCTCAAAGTTCCTAGGGACAGAGTTTTCTGAGGATTCAGTATAGAACTAGGGACTGGATACTCTGATTCTTTGATCTTTCATCATTAACCATGGTACCTGATTAAAGGCTTTTAATATTAAGACCTATTAGAGTTAGTGCTACAATTAGTGTAGAGTAGTTTGTCATAGTGAAAATGTGATGTAGAAGGTTTGATAGTAATAGAATTTATTAGCCAGGTGTTGGTAGCACATGCTTTTAATCTCAGCACTCAGGAGGCAGCAGCAGGCTGTGAATTCAAACCAGCCTGGTCTACAGAGTGAGTTCCAGGACAGCCTCCAACACAATACAGAGAAACCCTGTCTTGAAAAACCAAAAACAAAACAAAACAATGTAATAGAATTGACAGCATAAGGACTTACCAGTTTATGAAGTTTATTGTTACATTTTGCATATGTTTGTGCATGAGAGAGCATGTTTTCTCCTTGTATACTGGATATTGAATGCAGAAAAGTATGAGCCACTTGAGTGTTGGTGTCTGAACTCTGGTCATCATCAAAAAGAAGATGTGCTGAGACACATGCCACGATCCACAATATGTTTTATCTGATGATCCAAACCTCTTTCACAGATTAACAACAACAATAAACCTAAATACATAAAGAGATTTATGAACATTATCCATCAGAATTAAGATGTTGTATATGGTAACTTTGCAGCATAAAATGACTGCATCCAATGACAATGTCCAACAATTTATCACAAAATGCTGATTACAAATGTATTCACACACAAAAAAATTTCAATTAGAAAGAACTACATTCACACTGGAACTACTCCAAATGTTCAATGGGATTATGAACACATAGTACACCCATTGATATTATATGACTTCTATACTTAGAAGGTTACAACAATCAAAATGTATACAATATTTGTCAATGAATAAATAGGATGGAGAGAAAAATCCAAGAATAGAGGCCAGAAAATATTGTCAACTTTTAGACCAAAGAAGCAAAGAAACTTAGTCAGGAAAACTGTTATCAATTCCAATGGTATCCAACTACCTATGAATCTATGTGTATAGACATTAAAAAAATACAGACTTCAAAACTTCAATTAAATTATCTCAAAGTGACCCTAAAACTGTTGTTTCTGACATTTAAGCTACAGATATTTCTTCCAAAGACAGAAGCCCCATGCTCTAGAGCTCTCTCTGCAAAATTAGCAGATTTTTTGCTTTGGCTCTGAAGCCTTTTATGAGTCCTGTGATTTCAGGTAAACTCAGCCCACTGATTCCTGATCATAATAGCAGCATGGAAGAATAATTTAAAATCTGCTTCCTGCCACTTGGATTTTAGACCAAGATGTGGATCATGCCATAATTACCTGCCAAACACAATGCACACATTTGAAATCTCTGCAGACCAGAAATTCCTTTTGTCTCCTGGAACTAAACTTCACTGAATCAGATTATTGAGGCTGGTGGTAGTAGTAATGTAAAAATATTCTAATCATGCCAGGCATTGGTGTCACACTCCTTTAATCCCAGCACTTGGGAGGCAGAGGCAGGAGGATCTCTGTGAGTTCAAGGCCAGCCTAGCCTACAGAGTGAGTTCCAGGACAGCCTCCAAAACAATACAGAGAAACCCTGTCTTGGGAAAAAACAAAAATCAAAAAACAAAACAACACAAAAAATTCTAATCACATACTGCTGAAAGACAATCCATATCACATCTTTCTACAACATTACAATATTATTTGTGATATTTATAAGACAAACTTGAAAGTCAAATGTAATATTCAGAAATTCTAGAAACCAGAAAGTCAGTTTTCCAATCCGTATTCCCACTGTACAATAAACAATCTGCCTGTGCATGTACACTTGACAATTATGCTACAAGTATCATTTCCTCCCATTCCAGGGCTGCAAGAAATCCATATACAGGGAGGCTCAGACAAGGGCAACTGCCCTGGACTACTCATGGACCAAGAGAACCATAGTCTCTCTCATAGTCTGTGCAAATTCCAGCAGAAAATGCAGCACAGCAGACCTGCTCTGAACAACCTGCACTAATCATGGCATAGTTTGTGTTCTTCCTTACAACTCCCTAGAGAAGAAAGGGAGGAGAATGCTGGAAGGGAATTGCAAGCTAACTGCCACAAGTACTCCTGATTGTTAAGCCTTCCCAGAGTCCTTCAGAGTCTGCCCTTCCAGCCCAGCAGACAGGGGCCTAGTCAAGAAACTTTGTATTTTAGTGGACATTCTTCCACTGCTAGAACACATCTTGCAACTGCGGCAAAGCAAAGGTTCCTTAGTGTCCACAATCCATCATACACTCAGTGTTCAATGCTTCCAACCCTTGAACTCATATCTGCAGCCAAATGCATGTCACATTCAAACAGTAACAGTTGTTACACTGTAACTGTTGTTTAAGTAAAACTATCCATTAATTAGAAAACACCATGGAGTCATGGAAAGGCTTGGGGACAATAAAGAGAATATAGATATGAAGTAGATATGTTTAAAAGTTGAAAAGAGCTTTATGGCCATGTGCTCCACAGACTAGGCATTTCTATTAGAGCACACAAACCTTTTCTCTCACTGTATATCTACACCCAGAAAAATAAAAGTCCTGTTAGGCAGGCCACAAGAGTTTACACAGATCTATTTGGTTGAACTAATGTAAGCAAAGTTTTCATGTTAAGATGTGTCCTTTATCCAAGATTTTTGATTGTCCTCATTTGTGAATTCCAGAAAATGGCCAATCTGGATAATTAGGGAATATCTTGAATTATTAGCAGATTCCACATTGCTAATCTCAACTACTGTTGAAAAAGAAAACTCAACCTCCATCCTGCCTCTCCCTTTGTGCACTGTGATTCCAGCAGTTTCAAAGGTGGTCGATGAACACAACTCTCACACAGGTCCCTCTACATTTATATGTCCCCACTAAAAATCAGTTTGGAGTTCACTCATTAACTGACCAGTCCAGGCCCAGACAGGAAGGAGGCACATGATTGTCTTCCCAGGCCTGGAGAGGAGAAGCAGGAATAGGTGTTCAAAGCAATTCTCAATGACACAGCATGAGGCAAGTCTGAGATATAGTAGGCTTTGCTCTACACAGAAATCAATAATCAACACCACTTTAGAAAAAAGGAATGAAACTAGTAAAAACCTAGAAACAGTGGAGAACCAAAACAAATAGAGATAAAAGCAGTAATATATTTAAACAAAACATTAAAAACGATACCAATAAATGTTTTTTAAAAATGAATATAATGTATTTCTAATACTAGAAAAACTTAGCTATATTGAATGTGAAAACAGAGCACTTCCCTAGAGAGAATATCATTTTCAGCACAAGCTCTAATAGACTATTTTTTGGTTTTTCGAGACAGGGTTTCTCTGTATTGTTTTGGAGGGTGTCCTGGAACTGGCTCTGTAGACCAGACTGGCCTTGAACTCACAGAGATCCGCTTGCCTCTGCCAGTGCTGCGACTAAAGGCATGCACCACAAACACCTGGCTCTAATAGATCTTAATAATAAAAACTCAGAGTCAGCTGTCAGGATGTGAACACTGAAGGATCACAGAAGCAGAGTGGCCAGCCACTAGTGTTCTTATCTCTACTAAGGCTGAGACCAAAGATGCAAACCTGTCCTCACACTGCCTCCTCAGACTAACTGCTGCCTCTACAACACCTCAGACAGAATGCTCAGACTGAGTCCTCACACTGTTTTCCCTCCTTTCCCCTCCCGCCTTGATTATTTGATCTCCTGTATCTGTGGCTAACTAGTGGCTTAGCACTTAACCAGGTGTGTAGTTAATTAGTGACTTAGCTCTGCAATCTAATCTTCAGGCAAGAAATATTTGTTAGATTACAAACAAAGTATCACTACATTCATTAATAAGAGATAGATTGAACTTGCCCAGATGCATATGTTGGCTACTGAGCTCTTTAATCTGACACATAGTTACAGTCAATGACCTGACTTTCAAACACTGAGGTGATATAACCAATGTTACCCAGCTACCCATGATCTTTGTGCTTACAGATTACATATACAGACTTCACAACTCCAATAAAATGAACTCAGAAGGACACTTAAACTCTTCTGCTGTTGCCCCTCCAACTACTGATAGGATAAAACATACCTGCACAGGACAGTTACCCAAATGCAAATTCAATATTCAATGGCTCAAGATAACCTTCTCAAATTCTACACCCACATGATCTGGTTTGTGTTTATTCACATGCAATGAATCAAACATGCTGGGAAATTACAGTGTCATTAACACAACATCGAGCAGGTCCTTTTTCATAATGGTGACTCCAGCAGCTTGTTGCCTACCCTGAATCCTCCTGCAATGTAAACATTCCTCCTATTATGGTCTGCAGGCAGAAGAAATGCTCCCCCATGGGAATCCTTTTCCTGGGACAGCATTTGATAGTCAACCACATAACTGAAATCAACAATTTTAATATCTGAGGTGCTATATTCATTTAAGAATTTTGCAGGTGTAGAGAAGAAGAGAGCAAAGTCATTGACCCATAGAGCAACAGACTGGAATCAAGGCCACCTGAGTCAACATAAGGGAGTTTGCCTCAGTAAAAATTTTCTAACACAATGGAAATGAAGCTGTCCTAGCATTAATACATCTTACCAGGAAGAAATCACTTCACATAGTTAGTGTATCAGTAAAGCATGAATACATTTAACGATAACATGCACTCATCTCTAGCGAATACTCAAAGAGGAGGCAGCCTAGACACCTTTTACATTTCACATATGCTGTCATCCTTAAGTGTCTTTTAGTTTCATATTTCAAATTGCACTTTGAATGATTTAAATAGAGACAGGAGACAGTATGTCAAGCTGCTTGGGCAGATGAGAGCCATACACAGCAAAAATACTCTGGAATTATTTCTTAAGTACATAAGAGACCTGCAACAGCAAAAACGTCTTCACTGACAGGATCCTGAGGTGAAGGTGGCCAGGGATGAGAAATATAGAAAATGTGGATTGTAGAAGACACAAAATTTGGGATGGGGAGGTCTTGGACAAGTAAGCTTCTTAAGAACAGCATTTTTTATACTACTTTCAGGGGGAAATGGAAGAAAATGGGTCAATTCTATGAAGTCAGTAGAAACTATCATGCAATAGGACAAACTCAGGGAGGAGGCTAATCAAACAGTGCTGCACAAGGAGAGCACAGGGCATGTCAAGATCATTACTGACTAACACGACAGTGGCCTTGGGAATGACAACCAATCCCCATGTAGTGGGAAGTGTTTGGTTTTCTGCATCTAAAGCCACCTCTCCACAAAGGCTTTGCTCCAGACCACTCTCAAGAAAATCCTGATATTAGATTAGGCTCTCTGTTTTATTTTCAATACATCAGGCCCTCCTTAGGGAAAAGTCACAAAGCCAAAGTCCCAGACTCTTACTGTCTATACTAAGGAATATTCCTCCCTGCTGCCTGAGGGCCTAAATGAAAGTTAGCTTGGTTAGGCAAGTCCTTAAGACAACAATGTTTTACTTTTCAAATAGTTGTCACCTGATGTCCTATTGCCCACCTGGCAGAACTATAGTTTTTTCAAGAAGAAAATGGGAACTTTATGGTACACCAGGCCATAAGGTTGCCTCCTTGAGCAGCTTGTTCTTTGATATGGGAATAGGCCTCATGGCTACTTGTAAATCAAGGGTGGCTAATTTGCAATGGTTTTGATCCAAATGTCTAGAGAATCCTGGTAAACAAATGTGTATCCTAGCATCCTAATTTCTAACAGGACTGCTTAGCATATACTTAGCTTTGGGTGTTTCAGAAGCTGTCCTCAATCAACTAAAGTATACTTTGTGAGACTTACCATTTCCTAAACATTTTTAAATCCTTTGTATTACCAATTTTACTTTTCTACATCACAGCTTAGCAGTGGGGTGCTACCCAACACATGAGATGCCTTTTACAACATCTACCAAATTAACATTAAATGAACCTTATAGCTAAAATTTAAATGTAAAGTGCTGAACCTCAAGAAGGCTTCTTGAAGTTTGGTAAACTGCTTTCCATGGGTGCACAAATAACATCTGAAGTTGCCTGTAAATATGTTTCTACACACAGTCCTTGTTCCCAATGCTCAGAGCAGGCTCAGCCCACAGGTATTGAGAGACCTGCCTCTAGATCCATGGCATTTCAAGGACTGGATGCAACCTCACAGGACAGAGAATGCGACTGCATCTTCTCACTCAGATCCAGAGAATACCTATCACAAAAGCTCCAGCACCTCCCCATTTGCCTCTCCCCATCTGAAGACAGTGACCCCTGCTGACCTGGTTGTGGTTTTCCAGCTTGCGCTCAAGGACAGCACATCACACAATTCCAATAGCTCCAGTTTCGCTTCAAAACCCAGCTTTTAGCCATCAGTCTGAAGGGCCCTGCCCCACAGTGTGTGTCTAGCATACGAAGAGGATTCTGGGGAATGTAGTCAGACTCAAACACCCTGTGACTAGGGATGAAGGGGAATCTGGGAAATGTAGTCAGAGTAAGATACCAAGTGACTAAGAGACCAGAAGGGTTCTGGGAAATGTAGTCAGAGAAAGACACGAAGTGACCAGGAGAGATGAGGATTCTGGGAAATGTAGTCAGAGAAAGACACCAAGTAACCAGGAGAGGAGATGAGGATTCTGGGAAATGTAGTCAGAGAAAGACACCAACTGACCAGGAAAGGAGATGAGGATTCTGGGAAGCATAGTCAGAATCAGATACCATGTGATGAGGAGACAAGGAGGATTCTGGGAAACAGAAGTACAAGAGCCTACATAAATAAAGAAGTAAACAATCATTGGGAGTTTGATATATCAATGTTTAGATACTGTATAAGGTAAATTTGCAACATAAATTGAATACAATACAAAGAATATTCCAAGCACCATATAACAGGATATCAGATTCTAAAACTATGTGGAAATTGGAGATGGTTAGAATTCTCAAGAGTATTATAAAAACAATTGCACACATGTTGACACAATGTGACTTCTATACTTACAACATATTTACAGTGATTGAAAAGGGGTATGATATTTGGGAAAGAATAAAGTGGATAGAGAGAAAAAGCCAAGAACAAAAGCAAGAAAATATAGTTAACTTTTCTTCAAAAGAACAAAGTATACTTAGTCAGGTAAACAGTGATCTTGACCAATGTTACACAGCTACCCATGATACTTTGTGTTTGGAAATTAAATACACAGACTTCACAACCCCAATAAAATTAACTCAGAAAGACCCTTAAACTCTTCTGCTTTTGCCCCTCCAACTACTGACATTTCTGCCAAACAGGACATACTATGGTCTAGAGACCTCTCTACAAATGGGGATAATCTCTTCTATGGTTCTGCAAATTCTCATGAACTCCCTTTGTTAATGCCCACACAGATAATAACATAGAAGAAAAATTCAAAACCCACTTCCGGTCACAGGTATCATGACACAACATGCAGAATTTGCCCTATTCACTCACCAAACACCATGCTCATCTGAGAAATTTCTGCAGATCAGAAATTTATTTTGTTCCCTGGATCTCAACTTTCCTGGATCATGCCATTTTAGCTGGAGGTAGCAGAAAGTTAAACGCATTCTGATCACATATTGCTGATGAAACATGATCCCTGTCGCCTCCTTGTAACACTTTCTAAAATTTATAAACTGTGTAAAACACATGTGAGACAAACCTGCATGCTAAATGCAATTTTCATAAATTCCAGCAATCTAACTTTCAGTTTTCCATTGTATGTTTCCACCATACACCCAAACCAACACTGTGATGTACACTGGACACTGATATTATAAGTATCACATTTGCCGACAGAAAGGGCTACAATGCCTCCCTCTCTCTCACCTAGGGAACCTATACTCAGGTAGGATCAGAGGACAAGAACCACTGTCCAGAAGATCACACAGCCCATGGTCCCTCCTAGTCCCAGCAGCAATGACAGCTAGGCAAACCTGCTGCTCCTGCTCTGAAGCCCTGAAAATCACCATGATGTAGCTTTGGGTCTTCATTTTATCTCCTACAATAGAACCAGAATAGAATCCTGGAGAGAATGTGCTAGTTACCTCCAACTGGTCCTCCTGAGTGCTAAGCCCTCCCACAGTGACTCATTATCTGTGGCCACACAGTAGAACCACTGAGCATCAGCAGCTCAACTCTTGGGTATGGTGAGACCAAATAACTCACACAGCATAGGTATTCCAAGCTCTTCCCTTCCATTGGAGCAGACAGGGCCCTAGTGTGGAAAGTTTGTGTTTTAGTAGACATACTCCAGTCTCTCAGAAGTCTTCCTATTCTCTTCTGAATCAAAAGGTCTTTTATGTGTATATACTCAGGGTCTATCCAGGGCAGCAAACAATTTCCTTAATTCTGGAAAGTCCCACAGCCATACCTAGGTCACATTCATACTTGTATGGGCCACACAGTATTGTTACTGTGTAATCCATGTTAAAGAAAAATAGACCATGAGTTAGAAAATACCGAGGGGCATGGTAGGCCTTGGAGGGAGGAAAGAGACTATAGATACCATAGACATGAGGTAGTTATAATCTCAAGAATTCTCTTGAAAACCTGAAACAGCCTTTATGGCCATCTGCTCCAGAGCCTAGGGATTTGGAAGAGATATCACTCATATGTTTTTGTATACTGTAAATATTAAACCAGTAAAATAACAATCCCATTAGGAAAAGTCACATCATTTTATAAAGATCTTTATTTTGATTGAACTATAGCAGTTTGGTTTCATGATAGCATCAGTCCTTTATCTAGGTTATTGACTGCCTTTGTCTGTGGAATCTAAGAAATGGCCAGTTAGTCATTTTATCAATCATCTAAAATTGATTACATGACACCATATTTCTAATTCCCACTGCTGATGAGCAGGAATTTGCTCATGTTCCTCCTTCTCCTGTGGGAACAACAGACCTTGGCCAGAGATCCACTTCTCCATCAGCCTGGAAACAGGCAGTTGTGAGACAATATTTACTGAAAACATGTTTACTGAAAACAATCCAGTGCCCTAAGAAATGTTTACTGGAGCTATAAGTTCCCTATACAGGCTCGATAAGGGCTAGCTCAATGAAACACCTTGACTTTGATCTTTCCAATGGCTAGCCGCCTCTTCCTGCCCCATGCTGCTACTGCCGAATCTGGGGTCAGGGATATAACCACCAGCCAGGAGGAGAATGTGTGTGTGTGTGCGTGTGCGTGTGTGTGTGTGTGTGTGTGTGTGTGTGTGTGTGTGTGTGTGGCAGAAGGTTTTCTGGAGGGAAGCATTTCTTGGGAAGCTCTCTTGAGCCTTCTTGGGGAGCATAAAGTTTTCTTAACTGGTCTCTGTGTCATCAATCCCGATGCCCTCGCCACATTCTCAGATACAGGCTGCACAGCAGGCATGGCATTCTCCCACCCCTTTTTGCACTTTGCCTACACCAGCTTCAAAGATTGTAAATGAACTCAATTCGTTTATGTACCTGTCTTCATTTGCAGTCTGGATACAAGCCTCAGCAATTGGTAAACACTCATGTAATGGTCCATGTTTCCTTCTCAAAGACCACTCAAAGCCCTGTCTTCCCTGTACTGGGTAGCAGAAGCAGGAATAGCTGTGTTCAAAGCAATTCTCAAGCACATAACCTAGGGGTACCCCTGAGCTCAATATATCCTTGCCAAAATGTGAACCCACAAAGCTGGTCTCTGTTCATTCACATTACACTAATTAGCACATCCTGGGAATTTAAAGAAGAAAATCACTGAATCTTCCTGTCTTATTGTTTTTATTGCTGTGAATAAACACCATGATCACCACAACTCATCATGAAAACATTTATTTATGGTGACTCACAATTTCAGAGATTAAGGTCATTATTGTCTTAGTGGGGAGCATTATTTGGAGGATAATATGGTGGTGGCTACATCTTGATATGCAGGCCACAGGAAGTTGACTGATATGCTTGGCTGTATACAAAGCATAGGAAACAGCAAAACCAAAACTGCTGAACACACTGCAACAAATCCACATCTTCTAATTGTGCCACTCCTTATGAGATTATAGGCCAATTAAATTCAAACTATCACATTGCCACAATCTGGTCCTTTTTCTTGATGTTCACCCAATCAGCTGATTTCCTACACTGTTTCCCACTTGCAGTGAACTCAGTGAACTCTTCTTTCTACTCTGGTCTGAAAGCAGAAACTATGCTCCACATGCAACTACTTTTACTGTAACTGCAAGGAACAGTCAATTACATGATTCAAATTGATGATTTCAAAACTCTGAGTTCATACAATCACTTAATTTAAGAAGGGGTAATCAAGAGGACAGTGAGGTCATTGTCCAGGAAAGCAACAGACTGGGATCAAGACCATCTGTGTCAATTTCAGAGAGTTTGTCTCAGAAAACTTTCTGTAAAAGGTTGGAAGTGAAGCTGTTCAAGAATACACCTTTCCAATGAGAAATAACTCCACAGACTTAAGAAATTAAGATAGGAAAAAAGAAACTCTATAAGGAGAGCCTGTATCCATTTCTGGCAAATGCTCAAAGAGGAGAGAGCCTAAAACAGATTTTTTTTTGTCTTTTGAGATAGGGTTCTCCGTGCAACAGCTCTAGTTGTCCTGGAACTAGTTCTGTAGATCAGCTCACCTTGAACTTATAGTGATGTGCCTGAATTTGACTCCAGAGTGCTGGGATTAAAGGCCTGGCTTCTAAAACAGATTTTGCATTCAATATATGCTGTAATCCTTAACTTCTTTTTGAGTCAGACTCCAGCTTACACTTTGAAGAATTTAAATAGTGACAGGAAACTGCAAGTCAGGCCAGTTAGGCAAATGAAAGACCTCAATGAAAATATATTACCACAAGTATTTCTTAATACAAGAGCAACATGAAATAGCACATCTTACTTTCCTGACAGGTCCTGAGTAAGAGGTGCCAGAATATGTGAAAGACAGAAAAGCAGAACAAAAAGTATAAAAACTGGGGCAGGGAGTACATCCTTAATCTATGTTTTATTTTAAGTAAGGGTTTTAAGAGGAATAACTTCGAGCCAGGTGATGGTAACACATGTTTTTAATCCCAGCAGTGGGAAGGCAGAGGTAAGTGGATCTCTGTGAGTTTTAGGCCAGGCTGGTCTACAGAATGAGTTGCTGGACAGTGCCTCCAAAACAAGTACAGAGACACCCTGTCTGGAAAAACCAAGTAAATAAATAAATAAATAAAATAAGCCAACGAAAAGAAAACAACTAATAACTTCTTGTATAATACTTCCAGGGGAAAATGGAGGGAAAGTCAGCAAGTCAGCAGACATTATCATACATTGGAACAAATGCATGAGATATCTACTCAAGAAAATGCAGCTCAAGGGGAACAGAGGGTAACCCAAGAACATTACTAAGTTCACAGTTGCCTTGCGACCAATAACCACAGCTATGTGTGGTGG